CTGGAGATGTAGTTCAGTGCCACAGCCTTGGATTGAATCCCCAGTACCTCAAATACGGAAAAATATTCCTCCCTTCCTCCCTCCCTCCCTCCCTTTCCTTTTACCAAACCAGGTATCACAGATAATCCTTTAGTCCCATGCACTTGTGGAGGCAGAGTATAAGGCGTTTAAGACCTGCTTGGGAAGCACAGCGAGTTCCCACGTCAAAAAAAGGAAAACAAAACCAAAAACAAGCCAGGAGTGGTGCTACACAGCCGTATCCCAGTACTCAAGAGGCTGAGGCAGAAGAGTTGCTGCAAATTCAAGGCCATTCTGGGCTACATAGTAAATTGAAGACCAGCCTGAATGACATAGCAAGGCTCTGTATCAAAAAATAAAATAAAATCCAAACCTTTAACCAAGTAACAGCAGCAGAAAATAAAACTGTGGGACTAAATGCTAGGCTTAATAATGGCCAATTAATATTATATACCTAGAAATTAAAAAGTTAAAGCCAGGTGTGGTGATGCATGCCTGTAATCCCAGCACTTGGGAGGCTGAGGCAGGAGGATCACTGTGAGTTTGAGTCTAGTCTGGGCTACAAAGGCCAGCCTGAACAGCATATTGAGACCCTGTCTCAAAAAGATCAGAAAATTTAAGTAGATGAAAATGTCAGGGTCCTTTTAACTTTCTTTAAAAAAAAGAGAGAGAGAGAGAGAGAGACTAGGCATAGTGGTACATGCCTATAATCCCAGCTCTTGGGGCTGTAAGAAGGCAGATCCCTACAAATGTAATCTAGCAGTGAGACTCTGAACACCCTGTAGACCCTTCCCTATAAATAAATAAATAAATAAATATATAGGAAATGAGGTTAAAAGGTCTTTTTTTGGTGTGTGCTTAATGTAACTAAAATTTATGAACTGGTGCTTACATACATACCCTCTCATAAAAGTGAACGACAAGGAGAGCTTAAATTCTCCGAATGAATAATTACGAGGATGGACAAGACATCACAGGAATACAAACAACTCACCCCAAGTTTACCAAGACGAACACCCCACTTGGCATCCGTGCTCAGTTCATGGAACTGAAGCCCTATTTCGACTTCTTGATAGAGGCTGGCCAGCTGAGCACCCACCAAAGATATTGCCTAAAAAATTAAAATAGGCTTAACAGTCTATGGCACATAGAATAAGTTTTTCTAACACCTTTCAGATGAAAACAACAAAAATCATAACCTTGCGCTAAGGACGCAGTACAGCATCCACTTCGCATGTGTGAGGCCCTGGATCCGAACGCCATTCCCTCTCCCCATGAGAACTATTTTTGTGGTGAGAATATAAAGGGTTACACGTTGCTCAGTGCCCCGCCCCTGGCTGTTACACCGTATTTATAGTTAGCTTGTATGCTGCCACAGATTTAGTTTGGTTTTCCTTTACAAGCAAGATGAAATTTTTAGTTAGCCAATAAGCAAAATCCTCACATGAGGTCAATCTTTAAAAATAGCTTCCAAGAAAAGTTTTTTTTTTTTTAATTTTTTTTTAATTTTTATTTATTTTTTTTTTTCAAGAAAAGTTTTCTATCCCTTAAACTTTTCCCACATAAACAAACAACAACAACACCCTCAAGGACCTTGTGTTTTAAACGCACTGAAGTATAATGCATGAGGCTCTGAAGGCTGCACAGATTTTAAGAAATAAAAGGCATCTGAGTTCTTCGAAGCAAGCAGTGTCTGTGACCTGCGTATCTGCTCACGAGTCAAGCTAACGCTGGTACAATTGTGTGTGTTACATTTCTTCTAAATATTTCAGACTTGCTAGTGAAGTCAGTAGGTCAAGAGGGGAATGTGTGCTCGCTTAGGACATACCAGAATTTTGTCATAATTCTGCCATGCTCTATCTATGAGATTCCAGAGGTTTTCGAACACATCTTTTTGAGGTAAGAGAGTGCAGTAACCCAAAGCCAGGTCAAGATCCACTAGGCGACAATTAAATACCTAAGGGAAGAAAGCGTCAAAAGAAGCAATTGTTGACAATCCAAACAGAATTAAAGATTTTAGCACACTTGGCACCAAAGTGACTCACAGACCGATAAATATTTCATGAAGTATTTTTGTTTTAAACCCGGTCTTGCTAAATTTGGTTTGAACTTGGCAATTCTCCTGCTTCAGCCTCCTGAGTAGCTAGGATTACCAGTGGCAAAAAGAAACTCCTGAACATTATTAGTGGGAATGTAAACTAGTTACAACCACTAGGGAAAACACTGTAGACGTCCCTCAAAAATTAGAAACAGAACCACCAGCAATCCCACTTTGGGTGTATATCCAAAGGAACTGAAACCAGTGTATTGGAAAGATGCCTGTACACCTGTGCGCACGGCAGCATTGTTCCCAAAAGCCAAGAAACAACCACAAGTTCATCTACAGCCAACTGAAAAAAAATGGTGTGTACACGACATGTGGCATGTAATGAAATAATGAGCCTTAAAAAAGGAGATCTCAATGACCGCTACTCCCAGCTACCAGGAAGCCTGAGGCAGGAGAATCCCAAGTTCAAGGTCAGCCTGGGCAACTTAGCAGGACCCTAACTCAAAATAAAATAAAAAGAGCTAGTAATGTATCAATGGCACAGTGTTGCCTCCCAAAGAAGAATATATTCTGAAATCAAGGGATGAAAATGAAAACGATGCACTGCCACTTCATAAATGGGCACTGCAGTGTCAATCACCATAATTAATTACCACACAGAATGCCAGCAAGGGCGAGGAGCTGTAACACAGGTCCTGGGAACTCTCAATGGCAGAACACTAACGCCACGAACCGTGAGCGGCCGAGCTTCAGGCGCTGCTGACTGAGGTCAAAAGCAGACAGGCGCATCAGCAAACAAACTACAAGCACTTACTTTGTGTAGCAGCGTTGTGACATTTCCCCTGATGAACACTGCAGATTTTTCTTTCAAGTCCATAACAGTATGCCTTGAGTTAACTAATGTGGTTTCTCCAAGTAACTTTTAGAAAAGAACAAAGAAAATAACCATTAGGTCTACTTTGATATGCCACTGAAAAACTGTGTCAAATATGAAGACACTTTGAAAACTCATGCTATCATGCAAAATGGATTACCATTTTATCTATAAAACAAGAAACCTGGCCCTAGTATGGGGGATTGACTGAAAAGGAATAAGAAGGAATTTTTTAAAGTTCTGTATATCTTTTATTTATTTATTTAGTATTTTTTAGTAAGGGTCTACAGGGTCTCACTATGTGGATTGGACTCATAGTGATTCTCCTGTTTTCAGGCTCCCAACAGCTAGGATTACAGGAGGGTGCCACCATGCCCAATCTCAACTGTAGTCTCAGCGTACCCCAAGGGCAGGGCCAACATGGCACTTTGGGGATCAAACCCCAGATGCTACATCTGCCTAAGCAGGTGCTTTAATCCACTGCGAGATTTGGCGGCCAAAGTTCTGTATATCTTTTTTTTTTTTGTGGAACCGGGGATTGAACTCAGGTCCTTGCGCTTGCCAGGGAAGCGCTTATTCCACTGAGCCATCTCCACAGCCCCTGTTCTGTACATCTTGACTGAGGCATTAGTGGTAAGGTGAATATATGGGTTGATACACTTAAATACGTAGATCTTAATTTTGAAATCTATACCTCAATGAAACAGCTTAAAAAAAGAAAATCTGCATTGAATACATATCAACAGAGTATAGGAATGAGGACAATTCCCCAAGACGCAGCTTCATAATGAGATATCCACAGGTAGTCTGTCTCACAGAATCTTTTCCATAACATTGCCAAGGATTACTCTGGGCAACAACAAAGTAACAGAAGGACACTGCTGAGTCTGGAGTGTGAGTGGCTACTGACACAACCCAAAGCTTTGGGTAACTTATTCCACCTTCTAGAATCTGTCTCCACCTCCAGAGCAGCTACAAGGAGCACATGTGGACACGTGTGTGCTGTAGTTTCTATCTAGATGGCCCCCAAATCCTCCTGGGCTCATAGTGGGGGCAACTTCGGGAGGTGACTGGATCATGGGTAGATCACCAGTAGATTATTTCCCTGATGGGTTTATAGCTGAATGTGAGCTGGGGAGTGAAGCCTGGTAGAGGTGGGTCCCGGGCACAGCCTGGAAGGGTCTCTGCCCGCCCGCTCCCGTGACGGCTCTGCTTCGCTGCGTGCCACGAGCTGCTCCTCCTCTGCCGCACGACCCTGCTCACAGCTGGCCAACTGTGGGCTAAAACCTCGATGAACTGGAGCCACACTGAACCCCTCTTCCTTCAACTTGTGGTGTCGGGTATTTCATCTTGGTAACAAGCATGTGACTAAGACAAGGTGCAAACACCCTGAGCTTTTAGTACATGCTCAACAAATATGAATTATTTTTAGAATCAAATTTTATTTCACATTGATATAAATCAGGACAAATCTTTACACTGTCCCACATTATAGCACATTTCAATGGAATAGTTCGTGCTATAAATAAGATCTTACCGATCTGTATAAATGAAGTAAATCTCCAGTTATTCAACGTAAAGCAGAATGACAGTATATGTGATCATTTAAAAATTTTAAATCCAAGAAGTAAGCATATGGCTTCACTATAAATACTCTATTACTAGATTACTTCCACAATCAGCACCATGAAGATTCATTCTTAACATTGTTTTGGTAAGTTGAAATAGAGCAGAAAAATTAACACATTTCAGAAATATTAAGCATAAATTAAAATGTAACAAATGTTTCTTACATTGGATACACAATCATTTTCCTTGCTATAGAGCTGAACAGGAAAACGCAGACTCTATATTTCTGTTTGGCAATATTTTTACATTCTTATTTACCCAAAGTCAAAGCATTTGTTCTCACAACTATACCTTTTCACTCAGACTAGCATTCATGAAGTTTGACATAGAGTGCTGGAGACAGGTACCAAAGGAACCAACCACAAATTTCAGGGCCAGTTCCCACTGGCTGGATTCCTGAAGGTTCTCAAGCAGAGCAGAAATGGAACGGATAATGGGTAAAATAAGGTTGTCTCCTGCAGAGTAATAAAAAGATTTTAATATTTGAGGTTGTGGGGTATTGGGAATTGAACTCAGGACCTCACACTTGCCAGGCAGGTACTATGCTACTGAGATATCTCCCCAGCCCTAGATGTTTGTTTAAACAAAGATTGTAAGCGCTGGGGAGATAGCTCAGCAATCTAAGCACCTTCTTGGCAAGCACAAGGACCCAGATTCGACCCCTGGTACTATATGCCATGCCACCCTGGAACCGCAAGCTGCGCAGCAAGACCCTGTACCAAATAAATAAATAAAAGTATTTTAGGGTTGAAGAAATAGCTCAGTGGTCTAAGCGCCCGCCTGGCAAGTGCAAGGACCAGGTTCAATCCCTGGTACAGCATTCTGTGTGGCCCTGGAAACCTAGGTGAGCCAATGCAGGCCACCAAAACCGGGCATGGTGGCACACACCTGTAATCCCAGCATTGGGGAGGCTCAGACAGGAGGATCACTGGAAGTCTGAGCTGCATAGGAGACCCTGACCAAATAAATAAATAAATTTTTAAAAAAGATTATGTATGGGAAATTGCTCTTATGGATAGGATACTTTTTCAGTGTGGGTAACAGTCTTGGAATTTGTTCTCAAAATTAATTAATGAGAGCATTTAAACGATGCTGGATTTAAGCCAAAAAATAACGAAGGACATTAGACAATGAGTTTTTTGGTTTTGTTTTGGGGATACCAGGGATCAAACTTGGGACCTTGCACTTGCCAGGCAGGCACCCATGCTGCTGAGCTATATCCCCAGCCCGATAATGAGATATTTTGGGTGACAACCATTTCTCTGTATGGAAGTAGAATTTATGAACAGACAAGTACATGGTAAAACTGTCAGCCAAATCACATAATTTCCTAGAAGAATGATGAAATAACTATAAAATTACACAACAAATCAGATTCTTTCAATGTCAAGGAATTTGTTTTATATATTTATAAAATCATACATACTAGAGTTCTTTTTCTTTTTTTTTTTAAATTTCTGTACTGGGGATTGAACTCAGGCTCTTTAACTGAGCTATATTCTCAACCTTTTTTATTTGTTTATTTTAAACTTCTGAAACATGGTCTCACCACGCTGACCAGGCTGGGACTGACCTTGCAGTCCTCCCGCTTCAGCGCCCCCCCGGAGTTCTGAGATCACAGGTGCATGCCCCCACACTCAGCCAAGCTACACATTTCTACGTCAAATACCTTCACTAATGGAGCAGTAGGGCAAACTTGTAGAATCCAAGGGGTATCTTTTGTTTCCTACAAAAGAGAATAAGTAACACCAAATAAATGTTTATAAAATACACAGGCCCAGATATTTAAATTCTATGCTATGAGCAAGTAGTGGTCTAAGGCGAAGTACTTTAAACATTTTTAAAATAAATGCAAAAAAAAGAAAAAAAAATTCCCTCCAATAAATATCCTGAAACTGAATACGGAACTCTAAAGACCACAAAATACAACACTGCCAGCACCCGGGGACACCTTTGCTCCCTTCTGCAGGATAAACACTACCTTGACCTCCAATAGTATATGCTTCTTAAGCTATTTTTATACTTTATGTAAATGAAACTATACCATATCTATCAGTTGGACCTGGCTTCTTTTGTTCAACTCTCCTGGTAAGATTCATCCATATTTTTGTGTATAGTTCTTGTCTAAACCTCTACAGTTTAAATTTGCATAAAGCACAAATATATAGAAAATAAGTGAGCTTTACCTGCAAGAGGGACAAGAGATGAAATCAACTCGTAAATTATTGGTAGTACCACCTGTGATTCAAGAACAATTCCATCTTCATTGAAGAAGTCACTGTAAGACCACTCCTCGTATGGGTCTTTATGAGTTCCGAAAGAAGTCTAAATAGCGGGCCACATAGAGGAGGCAGAAGTCAGCGCACTGCAAACCCAAGACAGCATCTCCACCAAGAAGAAGGCAAAGCACACGGACTGGAGCCGCACAGCTAGGAACTGCACAGCCACGCAAGGCCAGGGCCCTGCGCAGCTTCCGCAGCTGAATTTTCAACCAATTGTGGACCAAAAATACTCAGAAAAAAAATCTGCCTGCACTAAATAAGAATGTGCTTTTTGGTCATTTCCTAAACAATACACTAAAATGATTATTTACATAGCACTTATGTTTTATCAGATAACAAACAATCTAGAGATTACTGAAGTATATGAGAGGATGGGTATAAGTGATAAGCAAACACTATGTAACTTTCTAGCAGAGATCTTGAACATTCACGAGTTTGGGTATCTGGAAGAGGTCGTGCCACCAATGTCCCCCAACTGCCCAGGCGCCACGGGCAACAGTACTGTTTTTTTAGGTATATGGCTCATAAAAACATTTTAAATTAGACTCTAACAAAAGGACAATGTCGAAAAAGGCCTCTTTTGAGGTCTACTGTTCCAAAAGATAGTATAAACTAAAGCAAATAAATTGTTGGGAAAGATAAATTATCTTATTCTCTTAAGAATTCTTCTAGTATAGGGGGCTGGGGAGATGGCTCAGTGGAACAAGCACTTCCCTGGCTAGAGCAAAGGCCTGAGTTCAATCCCCGGTTCCACAAAACAAAACAAAAGTCTTATAGAATAAGAAAACAGAAGAGGTACATGCAGTCTTTTTCTAAGTTGTGGATGTGATTTAGAAGTAGTGCATGATAGGCTGGCAGGACTTTTGTTAAGGAAAAAAATTCAAAAGGGATTTACTTTCATTAGGATTCCACAGTCATCCATTTGGCATTGTCGAGAAAGCTCCACCGCTATTAAAGTATATTTACACAGTTCCAAAGCATCTAGTAAAAAATCTGAAAAGTAAAGAGAAATCATCAAGCTCCTATTTTAGATCTTCAGAATAAAAACTACCTTCTTTAAAATCCCACTCTGAATTCTAATGAGGGTCACAACATAGAGAGGTGTCCACATAACTTTTTTTCGAGGCGGTCTCTATGTAGCCAGGTTGGCCTTGCTCTTGTGGTGACTCTCCTGCTTCAGCCTCCTGAGTGCTGAGACTGCAGGTGTGCACCACCACACTCACCCACACAGCTCTGGCTGCCCTAAAAGTGGGTCCAGTTTTTTGTTAAAGCACACTTACAAGATCAGATTTGGGGAGAAAAGGATTCTCACAGTCCTACAACAGTGAGTACTGTCTACAATCAGAGATGACATGGCTAGTATTTTGATTTCAAAACCATAATCCACAAAGTCAGTTACAGCCTTCCTTTTTGAGAAGCCACTCTGACCTGTTATAAGACCCACTTATTGGGGCTGGTGAGATGGCTCTGTGGTCTAAAGCACCTAGTTAGAACAAGCTTAGCAAAGCACAGGGACCACGGTTCAATCCCCCATCACCACATGCCAGCCAGCCCTGCCCCCTGGTGGGCTGAGCTGGCCACACACACACACACACACACACACACACACAAATAAATAAAAATTTAAAAAAAAAAAAGACCCAATTATTAACAGATAGCATTCGGGAAACAAGTGTGCAATGAGCCACAGAATAGAAATCATTATAAATCTGAGTACCTGGACTGCAGATGGTGGCAGCCTGGCACGCCAGGTCATGTATCTCAGAAGGAAGATTGAGGCCCACAGGTGCTGTCACCAGGACATTAGTAGCCAACATCTGACAAAGCTTGTGACACATCACAAACAGGAACCTCCCTGTGTCGGCATTGCTATGATACTTAAACAAGTCCCTGTGGAGGAAAGCAGACTGGACAACTGGAATACTTGGAGCAACAGCAAATGCATTTGCCTCTCTTGCAGTAGTATATAACCGCCATGAGCAACTCATACAACATCTCTAAAATTTTTGTTGTTGTCTTTTTGAGACAGATCTCATTATGTAGTTCAGGCTGGCCTTGAACTCACTCTGTATCCCAGGCTGGTCTCAACCTTGCAGTGATCCTCCTGCCTTTGCCCCCAGAGTACCGGGATTATAGGCATGTGCCACTAGGCCTGGCTTCTAAAATGTTTTAGATCATATAATGTGTTTCATTTTCTAATTATTTGAAAGAAATGTCAAACTCATGTCAAAAATGTAGGTGGCCTATACCCAATGGCTAAGTTACTTAACTCTGCAGTATCTGATCTTTGACTTTTATGCCATTAATGTCTGATACAGAAGCCCAAAACAGGCTCATGGAGTGAAAAACAAGTGGCTTTAAAAAAAAAAAAGTGTCACCAGCCTAGCACTTATTACTAAAGACACAAAGTGAGTGTATCCGGACATCACCTGCATCTGTTCAGCGCCACTCCAATGTTCTCGCTCCGTAAGGCTCTCCACGCCAGCTCTGCCTCCAGCTCCTGGGCAGACACCTGCAGGGCCAGGGCCTGTCTGTGCAGCTTGGACCTGGTGCTCAAGCCCGGCTTCTCCTGGGCATCTTCGCGGGTGTTAACGTACTGTTCATGAAGATCAGCTAAGAGGGCACTGTCGCCATAATCATCAAAGGAAAGAAAGACCTCAAAGTTCTCCTGCAGCAAATGTAAGCAAGACAAAGTCCCAAGTCCTTTTCAGGTTAGCCAATGGTAAAAATAATTGTTACATTTCAAACTTCTCTTTATCATCTCTTCCTCAGAGACTACTCTCTTCTAAATTAAGAATCTGAGACTTGGGACCAGGGAGACAGGTCAGTAGAATAAGTGCATGCCTGACAAGCGCAAGAGCCTGAGTTCAATCCCGGATTCTGCCAAAAAAAAAAAAAAAAAAAAGAATCTGAGACTTTAAGTTGTAAGACTAAGAATATTATAAAAAGCTCAGGAAGACTGGAGATGTAGCCCAGTGGCAGCGCGCTTTCCTATGTGTGAAGCTCAGGGTTCAGTCCCCGCTACCAATTAATACAATTCTGTGGTGGGGAGTAGAGTAGAAAGAGGGTTTAAACACTTGGTTTCTGTAACTACCCTGGGGGCTTAATGAACAGACTTGTTCTTTTCTGTAACTCCTGGCTAGCTGCTAACTGCAGACCCAGGTCTTCTCCAACTCAAGAGCAAGCTCACTGAAATCCAGAGGAAGACACCGAGAGGGAGCTGGGGCGGGCGCACCGGGCCCCTTGCACTGGCCCCGTACTTAGAGCAGGGTTCTTCATCTTCTAATACCTGGACGGGGACGGCTGGGGGCTGGCCTGTGTACGTCACAGGACTGCTGGCAGCACTGCTGCCCTCCCAAAAGCTGGAACAATCAAAAACGACTTCAAACTTACCAAATACCCTCTGGAGTGAGAACAAGCTTAACTTGATAAACACCATTTTCTCAGTATTTCTTTTTAATCTTTCACTGGTATTTTATGGCTACATTGTATGATTTCATACATTACCCTTTCCCGTTTACAGTATGTAATTCCTCCTTTCCCTGTATTTAGTCTTCATAAATAATAATATCTTTAAAAAACAAGGTCTCCAATGCTGTCCTGGGGGGCCTAGAACACCTACTCTTGAGCAATCCTCCTGCCTCAGTCTCCCAGAGTGCTGCGACTGCAGGTGTGCGCCACCACACCTGGATGAGTGTTATTTTTGATGGTAACACAGCACATATCTATAGTAAAGACAACATTTATAAACTGTTACAGTGCTTCCAACTAGTTTTCCTCCCAAGACGTTAGCGATCTTTGCTGAAGGGGACTTGTCATGCAGAGACACATGTGCACAGAAATTAATATGAAACTCCCATCTGGTTTCTTTTTTTTTAATATTTTTTTTAAGAATCATTTTATTTTATTTTTTTAAATTTTTTATTTATGTATATGTGTGTGTGTGTGTGTGTGTGTGTGTGTGTGTGTGTATGTGGCCAGCTCAGCCCACCAGGGGGCGGGGCTGGCTGGCATGTGGTGCTGGGGGATTGAACCATGGTCCCTTTGCTTTGTTAAGCTTGTTCTAAGTAGGTGCTTTAGACCACAGAGCCATCTCACCAGCCCCTCCCATCTGGTTTCTACTATAGATGCGCAACAGGATTCACTCACCATGAGTGCCTGGCAAGCATGAGGCCGAGTTCGACTGTCAGTACCAAAAAAAAGATGTGCAATTGAAAATTGAAGACTGTCACAATGCCCTCTAGCGGGAACTTCAGAATTTCCTAGGCCTGCATGGCCACACAGGGACTGCCAGAAGGACACACAAGCAACTGATTACAGCGGTGGCAGCTCCTCTGGGGAAGTGGCTAGTGTGAGGCTCGTGGAAGGAGGGAAACTTACTTTTCACTACTAGATCTACTGTTTTCAGCCTTTTTTGGAGGGACCAAAGAATTAACTTTTTATTATCTGTAACACATAGTACAGAAATAATTTAAATAATAATTTAATTATTTTAAAATTTTAGTTTGGTGAAACATATGTAACATGCAGGTTACCAGTTTTTCTTAGCCTTTTTCAACGATGTGTCACACATGTATAATCTTTTCAAAAGTGAAATATAAGCGTGATTAAATGTCTTCTCTTTAAAGGATTAAGCAACCAAGAAACTTCTCTTCCCTTAATCTGCACTTTTCCCAAAGGAATGCAGTTTCTGCATGCCATCCAGAGGATTCCAGTTTTACAGGGCATGTACTGTTAGAATCCCCACCCCCAGGATTGGGGGTCAAACTCAGGATCTTGAGCTATCTCCCAGCCCTTCTACTGTTAAAATTTAACCATCTTAGTTTAAATGATGAACGCTAGTGAGAGGAAAAGCAATAGAATAAGCAAGCGTGTGGGCAGCAGTAGGGACAGGGGCAATCTGCGGTGCACCTTTACCTGCAGGCCAGCAACCATTTTAAATCGTTTCAGGGTTTCTTCATACTCATCCTTCTTCTGGAGATTGTCTGTAATTAAAATCTTAAAAGTTACAGCACACAGGCAAATTCCATAGGTCACGCTTTGAATGTGTCTCCAGAATTTTATGTGTTAATGGTACCTGGAGGCAACTTGTGGCGGTGAAGGGGTCATGGGGGCTCTGATTAACCGTCTATGGCAGGAGTGGCTTCAGCGCAGAAGCAGTCTGGGGCACGCGAGCTGAGCTGGCTGTCCCAGCCCGGGCTGCCCTTGGGAAGCTCTGTGCAGCCCGGAGCCCTCAGCAGCGGCCAGGGCACAGCCGTGCCAGGCTCTCGACATTTCCAGAAGGCCCAGAACAGAGCTGAGCAAACCTGAACCTTCACAGGTTACTGAACCCGAGCTCAGGAATTGTTATAGAAAATGATTAAAATACCACATTGTAAGAAATTTTAAAAGCTGAAATATTAATTAGCTTTGGTTGCTTAGTAGTTCTTTTCAGTTGTTGATATAAAACAACTTAAGTCCACAAGAGCTCTAATTTGAAAGCAAGAAATCTATTCTCCGTAGAGGTAGAAAAGGGAAACAGGGTTACAAGAAAAATGGCAATTATTCTGAAATATACTGTAGCTTTTTCCTCCAAGAGAATTATTCTCTTAACTGTTTCAAGTTCAGCCTCAGGCATAATCAACTGATACATGAGAAAAATGAGCAAGGTACCAAAAAAAAAAAAAAATCTAGTTTGGCAGCTAATGGCTTACTAAACCATGTACAAGCAAAAGACAAGGTGATTTTACATGCTTTTGTTCTTAAACTTTTGGTAAAATGAGAGATTCTTCAGTAAGAAAAATGGGTAAAATCAATACAGACAATTAGAAGTAAGGACACTGCAGCTCCAAGGAAAGCTGCCACTGGTGCCTGTCCAAAAAGGGCGAGCTTGAACAAAGGAGGGCAAGGGGACAGAAAGTACCTTTGTGAACGTCGCACAGTATTTTAAGAATGTCCACGGATGTCTTTGCCACAGAGATTCTCCAGGCCTGGTCCTAGAAAGAAAGAAGGAAAATGAACTGTCAAGGGGCCAGGGAGATAGCTCAATAGAATAGGTGCTTGCCTGGCAAGCCCAGGGTCCTGAGTTCAATCCTCTGTACCACCAAAAAAAAAAAAAAAAAAGAACCGACCACTTCAGTGGTCCACACAGGAACACAGAACAACACTGTATCTGTGCACTGGGCTGCAACTAGGTGGTTCGGGGAGCCTCAGTGTGTGAGGCCCTGGGGTCAACCCCATGCCCTGCAAGCACAGCAAAACAAGGCAAACACCCCATGAAAATCGGGAAAAACAATGAAAGTCGCTGAAACATGAGAAGTTCACATTAGCAGTAGTTGGGTGGTCACAAAATGGACCTTAAATGAGTCTCATACAGGACAGATATGATAAACACTAGTACGGGCTTTTCTAACACAATCTCCAAATCGCCAAGTATGTATATATCTCTCAAATAACCTCACAATTATAGTAGGATTAATAGACCCTGTCTTTTTTATAGAATTATTTACTCTAAACATTTGGAAATACTCTCAGGAAAACTTAAAAATAGCAGATGTCTAAAAAATAAAGAGGGGCCGGGTAGATGGCTCAGTAGAATAAGCCCTTTCCTGGCAAGCGCAAGGGCCTGAGTTAAATCCCTGGTTCTGCAAAAAAAGAAAGAATAAAGGTCTAGCTGGGTGTGGAGCTGCACACCTGTAATCCCAGTATTCTGAAGGCTGAGGCATGAAGATCACCATGAGTTCAAAGTCAGACTCAACTATATACAGAGAGACTCTGTCTCATAAAAAAAAAAAAAACATTTAATAAATAATCACTATTACTACTTCCAGTGATTATTAAAGAGCTTTTAAAAAGAGAGAAAGGGGGCCTGCCCCGTAGCTCAGTTCTTTAAGTGGCTGCTTCAACAAAGCAGTCAGGCTTCGGTTGCTTTGGTTCGATCCCCACAACACAAGACAGCCAGTCATGCCTTGAAGGCATTCTGGAAAAAAAAACAAAAAAACAAAAAAAACACTTCTGCCATTTGGGGCCCGGGAGATGACGCAGTGGAATAAGTGCTTCTCTGGCAAGCGCAAGGGCCTGAGTTCAATCCCC